GCGCTGAGGTAAGACTGCCTTCTTCTCATCCTTGCGGCGACGTCATGTTTGCGTTTGACCCTGTCGCCCTCGTGCCCGTCGCACCAAACCATCCGGTTTCGATGACCAACTACTTTCCCTTCTGTCTCCCTCTACTATTTAGGCGAGGAAGCGTCGCTACAACGCCGCCAAACAGGCCGACTTCCAAAAGCGGTTGGAGGGTGCGGTTCCTCAGCTGGGCAATAAAACTCAGCTGGGCAAGGCCAAGGATATGGAGCAAAACAAGGTGCTTCCATGCAACAATAAATAAGTTATCCTGCGCTCACTGATCACTACTTTGACATGGAATACTTCAAACGCTTCAAACCACAACGTATCACCGCCATACACTCACGTGCCGCTTCGTCGCAAACGGTCCTTCGCCACCTCTCCACGTGTCTCTTTCCTGTTCCACCACCTCAGGGAGGGATGTGGGCGAAACTAGCAGCGGCTAAGGCGGGCGACCCACGGTTAGCCCCACCCAAAAACACATACCTCAAGGCCAGTACGAAGAACGCCGAATCACGAGGTGATCGCCAGAAACCTACACGGCCGTGCCCAACCAACCCTCCTGACATCCAAGTTGGTCAGAGTCACGCCTACGGCAGGTTCACGCCCAAAACTCTGACAAGGGGCAAGGGTGTGTCTAGAGTTTTCGGAGCTACACTTGCGGATGTCCCTCTATTTCAGTCGACCTCTACCGGTGTCCGACCCCAGAAAGGTCACTGCTTCCCATTCCCTCACGAGGATCTCCACAACCCTCGTGGCATCGACGACGAAGACAATGTCTTGAGAGAGGAAGCTGAGAAGGACTACTACATGCTGCCTGACAACAGCGTCGCCAACCGCATCACCAAGTTCCATAATTTCTGTAAGGAGATGCCTGACGTCATGTGCAACTACTGCAGCATTACTTTGTACCCAGAAGACCTCAAATGGGTTGCGATCGAACCACCAGGCGAGGGTGCCCTTCCTGCTGCCTGCCGGGCGTCCGCGGCAAATGCTCACGTGCCGGGCATTGAAGGATACACGGCCCGGTCATCGCGGGTCAAGGACGGGCGCCAACAGTACGCTTTCTGTAGCAACCATGCGTCTGAAGAGGGCCGACAAGAGTGGGTCTTCGACGACGTCGGCCCGGTTCCTGACGTCATTGCGTGCCTCACCCCTCCTGAGCGTAGAGCTACCGCCCTTCTCAGGATGCGCTGCTGCATGTTCAAGGGAGGTGGAGGAGTCGGGAGTGGATACACCATCCTCAAGGGAGCGGCAGAGTACGTGCCGGCGGATTTTGATGGGTCGGTAGGGCAAATAGCCATTGATTCGTCGAAAACGAAGGACATTCGACCAGAAAAGGTCAACGCCGCTGTCACATGGCTGGTGGACAACAATCCTTTGGTTGCTAAATACCTCACGGTGTGGGACACGCACAAGGACAAATTGAGTCAGCCGTCCCAAAAGATTGAGGACAGCACCATCCCTGCTGGGTTCCCCACCATCCAATGTCCAGCGGGCAGGGCCGGCGATACACCGTCTGACATTCAGGGGTTAGTGCTGCCGTCAGGAGATAATAAGCCCGTACCACAGACTCACGATCGCGCCTTGGGCCTGGATCAAATCGTCGCAGGAGATATCCTACCCAGAGATTCTGGCAGGCCCTCCCCGGACGAACGCGGGGAGGTTCTGCGGGCACTCCCTGTCTACTACGACCCTTATACGGGCTTGGCGAAGGATCGTGAACATTGCATGGAGATGCTCAGGTCTGTTCATCTCTTCCCCTTCGGCAAGGGGGGCTACATGAGGGGTTCTCACGGGCCACAGGAGCTGCCTGCCATGGACCATGCGCGGTACGTCAAGATGAGGTTGACACAGGTTGACAAGCGGTTCAGGGACCCTTCCGACACCTACACCTTCGCTGCCGTTGACGACAAGACCAAACAGCAACTGCATCGAGCAAACACCAGATCAACCACGTACAGCAACATTGCGGACGCGGGTGAGGGCTTCATGCAGCGGCTGGACGAGGCCACAAGGGCTGAGCGAGAGGTTGAAGACAACGATGCCGTCGCTCGGGTGTGCCAAAAACATGACATCCCTCTGCATTCCGGAAAAGACTGCGCACAATGTTCTTCCGCGGCGAGAAAGTCCAGCGGCGTGCAGGCTTGCCAGCGGTGCCGTCACTTCCTCTCCGACGGATTGCTTCAATGCCCTCACTGCCACGGCCCGCCGACTAAACAAACTCGTGCCGGCGAAGAAGGAAAGCTGCCAATGCTAGAAGGACTTGAGAAGGTGACGCAGTCTCTGCCCTCCCAAATACCTGGGGGTAGCTCCTACTGGGCAAGTAGGCTTAACGAGCTTCTTGCCATGGTCGACAGCAAAGACGTCGGGAGACCCGACCTGTTCATCACGAAGACTTGCCACGAGGGGTCTGATGACATGAAGGCCCTCCTAAACTTCTACGGGTGTCCGCATGCGTCTTGGCCCAGACACCAGGTCGAGATCACGCGACACTGGCGGCGGAACATCATGGAATGGCTCAATCGGTGAGTGTTGTGGTTATCATGCTGTCGTTGTCCCGTTCATCACGATGTGTTCAAATACAATGGTAGCTGACTACAAAGCAACGAAACCATCTTCTCAGGTTCCCATTCGCGTCCAATTTCCGTTAGGTTCGTCAAGGGCAACGACAGCGTCTTTGGCAACGTCAAAGACTCGTGGTTCAGATTCGAAGAACAGGGACGAGGTAGCTTGCATGTGCATCTTCTTCTGTGGGTTGCTGATCCGGTTACGCCAGACACGGGGCCCTCCCAATCGCAGGAACCCCCCCCATCGCAGCAGACGGTCGACGAGAACGGCGATACCATCCTCAGGTGCGTTACGACAGTCACGTTTCCATGCATTTCCTACGTCAACATAGGGTTTCCATTGCATTCCTAACTCACATCCCCCGGTGTCGCCTTCCAGATGCACGCTTACAACGACGAACGAAACCAACTACAGCGTGTGCGTCTGCTTGTAATCGCTTTATCCACCCTCCAGGGAAGTCAACAAGCCGAGTGTTTGGGCCGTCGCGCGAGCACCTCGCGGATCGCACCCTTTCATCCAGAGGCTACGCTCAGCGGTTCTCGCTATTAACAAGCACAAAAGGTGCGATCCCAACGCTTGCGCGAAGAAGTGCAGCAAAGACGAGGACCTGCCACCACACCACCCGGACAAACGATGCGCAAAGGGCTATCCTTTCCCGCAGAAGGCGACCAAAGACTCCCCACATCAATGTGACGAATGGTGCCCAAAGAAGGACGGGGCTATGCGCTGCCGTCTTGACGATCGCCACGAGTACACCAGGACGTGCAAGGAGGACTACAGGATCTCACCATACCATCCCATAACGTTTGCCGCGTACCCTACCCACGAGAACATCCAGGCAGTTACCAAGACCAGCTTCGCGGCGTACCTCAAGTACGTCGCGAAAGTGGAACCTGCCGGAAAGGTCTCCAACCCGCTTGACACCGTGGAAGAATCACAGCTGCCTCGTGCCGGCCCTGCCCAGAGTGGACTTCAGTCCGTCAACCAGAAACAGTTGCCATACATTTGGGGACGAAAGATGGCAATGTCCGAGGCAACACTGATTCTCTCCGGACAGTCCTTGTGCCTTAAGTCGCGGACGTACATGTTTGTAGACACGCGGCTGCCGCACCTACGGCGGGTGGTGGTGGCGCGTCCGGAGCCGGGGACCTCACGAAACGGCCAGGGAGGAGTGATAGACAGCACCATAGAGAAGTATTGCAAGCGACCTCAACGCGTGCAGCGGCCTTTCGATATGCCGGACAGCGTCAACGCAGAGGTTGACTTCGACGACATGACGCACGAAGACTACTGTCTGGAATGGGACATGGTGCCATCAGACGGCAGTAGGGAGCCACCGTCTACCTTGCCCTACTTCTTCAACGACCACAACGCCGCCTACTGGCGAAGGAGCACCGGTGTGAGAATCCTCGGGTTTGCCGTCTACCGGCCGGACCGGCAACCATTTGAGCAATTCTACTACCACCACCTCATCCTTTCCAGACCTTTCCGAAGCCTCGGCGAATTCATATCTGAGGAAAACGACGAGGGCACGTACGAGCGACAGTGCCAGATGGAGGGGGTGTTTGGCGACGAGGGGTCTACCACCGAGAACATCTTGGCGGCTGTCGACAAGGACCTACGCAGGCAAAAGGTAAA